GTTTTCATGTCTGGTTCAAAACCCCTCCTCAAAACTGGTTCATTCCTCCTTATAATCTCTCCTGTTCCATCCCCTGTGTTATAAATATCTATATTTATATATGTTCCATTTAAGATCTATATTCAATATATAATACATATGTATATTCAGTATATATGTATATATAGGCCATATATGACAGAGTCTTATGTATCCCAGGCTGACCTCAAACTTGCTATGTAGCCAAGGGTGACATTGAACTTCTGATCCTCTTGCTTCCACATCCCAGTGCTGTGATTACAGTCATGCATCACTTTGTCTGGTTCCAGACCTCTGTATTTTGCTGTAGGTTTTCTTGAATGGTATCTGCTGGCTATCCAGTATGGCCACGATTGTTTAGTGCAGTTCAGCCTTGGTGAGGTGAGGTCTACACCATCACTCAGGACCAACTTTCCCTCCAGTGGCTGTGTGGCTATGGCAAGTTAACACATCAGTGGACAGAACTTTTACAGTTGGTGGAGTGTGTTACAGATGCCGAGTGCTACTACAGATTTGGTGTGTAATTGCTACATCTTTTTTTCACAACACTGAGGTAGCTATTTATATCCCTATGGTCAGGTGAGGAAACTGAGGCTCAGAGACGTTAAGGATTTGCCTGAGGTCACACAGTTAGACTGTGAAGAAAGTTGGGAGCTAGAGAGATGGCTCGGTGGTTAAAAATACTGGCTGCTCTTGCAGAGGACCACAGTTCGGTTCCCAGCACCCACATGGTGACTAACAACTGTCTATAGCTCTAGTTCTAGGGGTTTTAACGTCCCCTCTGGCCTCCGTGGGTAGTGTACCCATGTGTACACTTACACACATGTAGGAAAAACATTCATACACATAAAATACAAATTTTTAAAAAATTAGCTATGCTGCCAAAGCTCATGATTGCCAAGACGTGGTGGCATACACATGTAATCCAAGCACTCAGAAGGCAGAGGCAGGGGGATTTCTGCAAGCTTGAAGTCAGTCTGGGCTACATAGTGACTTCCAGACTAGCCAGGGCTACATATCAAGATTTTTGTTTAAAAATAATAATAATAATAATTTTTGTTTGAGACAGGATCTCTGTATGTGGCCCAGGCTACCCTCAAACTTAACCATCCTTCTGCCTTAGCCTCCTGAGTCTTGGGTTACGGTTGTGTGCCACCACACCCAGTGCCAATACTCATAATCTTAGCCATAAAAAATACCACAGGCCACTGTCCTTCCACACCACTCTGGAGGCTGTCTTTAAGCTCCAAAGACTCTCTGGAGTCTCCTCTCTGCAACACACCTCCAGCTACTGAGGTGGCTCTGGAGGGTACAGGAGATGCCAGCTCTGCTGCCTACCCCCACCTTGATGCCTTCTTATGCTGCTGAGCGTGAATGTACTTCCTGTCCCTCCTCCCTAGGGACAACACCTAAGGACAGGCCAGGTAGGGGGCCCCTCCAGGCAGAAGCACACCCTTCTCAAGTCCCTTCAGGACAGGCTGGGTGGCTCACACCTGTAACCTCAGCATTTGAGAGGCAGAGGCAGGACTGTTGAGTTCAGGGTCAGCCTGGGCTACACAGTACAACTGTCTCAAAAAACAATATATTTTGCCAGGGAGCAATGATTTTAAAATACAAAACACAGAAACTCTGTAACTGGCTTCTTGGGAAAGTTGTGAGAAAAGGACCCTTTGTGAGTCAGGCCTGGCAGGGATAGAGACAAGTACATCCTGTGATGTCTGTTTTTGGCTGTATATCTTGCCTACTCAAAAACATCTGAACTCCAGGAAGGCAAAGGCCTCTTCTTAGACCTCCCTCTGTCACTTGCAGGTGGCTGACCTAAACCAGAGACTGGTCCTCTTTTTTAGAGTCAACAGGCTGCATCTTTGTGCTGGAGGGTGATTTCCCCAATAACTGAACTGGCTTCCAGGCCCAGGTGACAGGCTACAAATAGCAGGAAATTAACACCCCTCAAAGGGAATTAACAAGCTTTCAGCCAATGCCTTGGGGAGCGTAGAGATTCCATTCCCTTACCCTCAGGTGCCACAGATTTGAGATCTGGGTCAGTCTTGAATAGCTCCCCAGTGCTTCTGAGAAGAGCAAGCTCCAGCTTGAAAGAGGGCGTAGCCATTGTCCCGGGGTTCCTTGTCTCTCTGTTCCCTTGTCGTTCTTCCCTTCACCTCCCAAATAATTGCTTTTGAGTTCAAAGCCATGTTTTAGGCTCTGCTTCTAGGAGATGCAAATTAATACCATGCATAGCCCTCAAAAAGCATTTGGGAAGAAATGAATAGAAATCTGAGCAGCACGGCAAACTTTTTCTTTCTTTCTTTTTCTTTATCTCTTTCTTTCTTTCTCTCTTTCTTTCTTCTTTCTTTCTTTCTTTCTTTCTTTCTTTCTTTCTTTCTTTCTTTCCTTTTTATTTTTGTTTGTTTGCTTTTTGTTTTTGAAGCAATCTCATGTAGCCCAGACTGGCCTCAAATTCATTATATAGCTGAAGATGACCTTGCACTCCTGGTCCTCCTGCCTCTACTACCCAAGTGCTGGGATAACAACCAGTAAGGCTTTAAAAAATTTTTTATGTGTATGAGTGTTTGGTCTTGCATGCATGTAAGATGAATGTTTGGCCTACATGTATGAAAGCACACCACGAGTGTGCAATGCCTGTGGGGGCCAGAAGAGGACATTGGATCCCCTGGAACTGGAGTTAAAGATAGTTGTTAGTGACCATGTGGGTGCTGGGAATGAACCCAGGTCCTCTGCAAGAGCAGCTAGTGCTCTTAACTCCTGAGCCATTTCTCCAGCCTTTAAGCAGAGCTTTGCTTAAAGTCAGGTCTAGTGACACAGACCTGTAATCCCAGCTATGTGGGAGGCTGAGCAGGAAGAACTGAAAGTTCAAAGCTTGCCTGGGCTACAAAGTGAGTTCAAGTTTAGCCTAGAAACTTAGAGACCCTGTCTCAAAATTAAAAGTCAAAAAGAAGGCTAGGGATATATAGCTCAGAGGTAGAATGCTTGCCTAGCATGCTTAGTTTCCAACCTTAGTACTGAAAAAAAAAGGCCTACTTTTATAAAAGAAATGACTTTTTCTTTTTTAAATTATTTATTTAATAAACATAATTAGAAGAAACATTTCATTACAACAGCATTGACACATTCCATAACAATTTCCAGAGATAAGATACATCTCTTTCAAAATTGGCTGTAAATTTTTAGGTTTACAGTTGAATTAATAGAGTTATACAATATTGAACTCAGTATAAACCCTATAAGACAT